CTTCTATAGGACAGAGAGAGAGAGGGAGACAACAAGAAACAATTTATTTCCTTTTTTTTATCTTGATAACGTTGTGTATACACCCACTAATACTATGATTAGTATATAAAAAAAAATTTTTTTTTGTGCCTAACGACACTAAACAAGCATTTATTAGACATAATTTTACTATTGTTGACAAAAAACGATTGGTATATGAATACGCTGATCGACCATATATCCTAACGGTATGTCATTTTTATTCTACATAGTACATTTGTTATAACTAATATTTGTCTATTTCGACATGAAACATTTGTACATAATATTACTTCCACAATATTCAATTTGATGATCTATGGTATACATCTATACAAATCAATAATTGAATAAATTGTCTAAGAGAAATAATATAATAAAAACAAAAAAAAGTCAAAATAATATGCTATAGAGTATTGTAGACTTTATTTAAGTATCTTCACTTGAAATACAGTTTTCTATATACATATATATATAAGAAAATTATGAATTGTTTTAAAATGATCTATTTACATGTTAAAAGACGTATGTTTAGACATATTTCATAGCAGGTGTTCTTCTTATATTCCGTATGAACTTGATTTTACAGAAAAAAAAAAAAATCTTACTATATACAATATTTTCTGCACTATATATATATACTTATCTTATCTCTCATCCTCATCTTCTGTCATCAAATAAAGTTATGACGTAGTAATTAGAACTTCTTGACATATAAGTTTTTTTGTTTCTTTCTTTAAGTAAAGATAAGCTTTCAATCACTAATCTTAATATAGACGTAAATCATTCAAGATTCTTTTTCTTTTCTATGATAATGAATTATATATTCTATTATTATTTCTGCATATGTGCACTACTGGATAATCTTACAATACATTGATTACATTCTTGTTTGATTATGTATATATCTCTATGGGAATATGGAAAAGATATTGATTAATATATGCATATAAAATAATCTTGATAGACTAGTTTTCAAGAAATAGTGCATGTGTTGGAATAACATAAATATAAATATGTAGAGAAATCATGCAAAGTATTTTATTCTTCTTATTTTGTCAAAATCTAAACGATTAGTTTCTTATTATTACAACATGAAAATGTTAGTTTTACCGCAAATAATATATTTTGCTTATTTTGTTCATAATAATGAATAACACAAGCGAAGAAAAAGAAGGGAAGAATTATTATTGTTCATTTCTATAGCTCGATTAATAAGAAAGAAAAAGAAAATCGTCTCCTGGTATTCTCTATTCGTGCATATGATCTCATTATTATAAAAAAAAAAAAAAGAAAAGAAAAATAAAACTTAGAGGGCTTTTCCAAAAGAAAATCATTATATATTAATTCTTACAAAGATCGGAATATGGCGATTTTTCTATCTAAAAATGTTATTGTTGATCTATTGTATTTTTCTTTTAGTTTAATTGCTTGTTATTAGTTCAATGGATAATCATAATACTTCTTCAATATTATCTCAAAAAGAAAATCAACTAGAAGAAGAATCATTAAATTCTAATCGATTACCAAGAACTTCACGAAGATCATCAAGAAAAAATATTGCTACAGAACATTTTAATTCTTCTGATATTCCAATTAAATCAAGTGGTAAATCAATTATTGTTATTACAATTGAGTAAGATATTTTTTTTTTCTTAAAAGCATTTCTTTACTACACTTGTTAATACGAAAAAAAATAAATTTGATTGAATAATCATGTAGTATAATATTCGTTTTACACTCTTTCATAAGAATACTACTATATGATCATTGATAGATTCAAGTATAAGTCCTACTGTGCATGACTGTACGTGTCATTTGATGATGTATCATGTGTCTGTCTTGAATGATGTTTCATTATGAGAATAATTGTTGACAAGGATTAATAAATATACGATTATAAAAGAAGAATACCAAACATTCTTTTTGTTTTATATAGAAATCAAGATCAATATTAACCAATAGATGATGACAGACAGAAATATCTGCTATGATCTGTCATTGAAGAAAAAGAAGTAATCTGTGGAATAATATAAACCATAACAAATACTCCTGTCTATTATAAATAGTGACGAGAAGAAACAACGAAAGAATCAGTAGAATAAAAGAGACTTTTGTTTATTATTGAAATAATTCCATTGTGAATTTTATTTTTATTTTTTTCATTCCGAAGTGATTAAAGTTAAATTTTGCTCTTAGAAAACTAATTCTTACAAAATCTTTACGGACTTAATAACTACCGTGTGTGGTTTTTCAGAATTCTCGTATGACGTTCCCCAGCGGCAGATTCAATAGTCCAATATCTTTCATACAACCAATACTAGCTGTGAACAGAAGGTTAGCCTGGTTCAGAATTCTTAATCTCCCTATACACACAAATTAACCATAAGAGCAGTTACATGCCAGAATGTAGTCAGCATGCTATCGGACGAGTGATCTGAGACAAAAGGCCGTCACTGGCTTGTCTAGGGTCATCATTCCATACCTGATTTACAAGGATTGTTGAAATATAGGGATAGAAATTTGGATTCCCTGCCGACTGTGTCAGATGTTATTGATATACAATCATAGGTCGTATATTCATTATATTATATGAATTACTTCCTCATTATGTTTCTAGAAGATTAATCGTGTTTCACATGTTAATCCCACCGGAATTGCGCTAACAGCTTTTTTACGTAATTTATTCAATACAGTAGATTCGTTTGATGAAATTTCAAATAGAGTTGAAGTGTATTATTCTAAACGAATGAAAAAAAATTAGATCTGATATCAACATCATGTAATTGGCATTGTTTTTTAAGAGAAAATCGCAAACGTGAAAAACGTGAATTAAATCATCTTAATGATCGTTTTGCTTCGTATATTGAACGTGTACGTTTTTTGGAAGGTCAAAATAAAACAATTCAACTTGAAATAAATCAACTACGGTAAATTTCTGTCTTGTTTTGTTTGTTTTTTTTTTAAATTTGAATAAAAATAAATTGTAGTGAAAAATTAAATTCACGAATAACCAAAGTAAAAGAAAAATATGAAAATAAAATATCTGAAGTTCGTCAAACTATTGATAATACAGTGAAAGATCATGCTACAGTTTATCTTCGTGCTAAACATGCTGAAGAAAATACATTAAAATTTAAAGACAAGTAAATTTAACAAACAAACAAAAAAATCTATTCTATTAAATATTTCTTTTTTTTTAAATAGATGTGATTCATTATTAGCTGTAAGAGATTCTGATCGTAAACAAATTGAATTTTTACAAAAACAATTGTTTGATAATGAAGCAGATCTTAATTTAATTCATCGTCGTTTAAGTAAATTCGATTTCTAAAATATTTTTTTTTAATTTCAAAAACAAAAAATTTCTATTTAGCTGATTTAGAAGATGAACAAAAACGTTGTCATATTGAATCAAAACAACTTCTATTAGATATTCAACGTATAAAAAGTGATTTAAATGATGAAATAATATCTCGAATACAATTAGAAAATCAAAAAGAAAATCTTGAAAAAGAACTTGAATTTTTAAAAGATATACATTTACATGAAATAGAAGAATTAAAACAAATTAATTTAAATAATACTTCAACATTAAATCCAACGAAATTTTTTCAATATGAATTATCAAATGCTATAAAAAATATTCGACAAGAATATGAACAACTTAATTTTCAACAACGACATGAACTTGAATCATGGTATCAATCAAAAGTTACACAAGCTGTAAGATTAGATTTAATGGTAAATATTTCAATTTCTTTTTTTTCATATTAGATAAAAGAAGTTCAAGCTAGTGAAAAACCAAAAAAAAATATTCTTGAACAAGAAGAAATTCAAAGATTACGAACATTAGTTTCAAATTCACAACAAGATATTACTACAATCCATCAACGAGTAAATTGTTTTTTTTTTCTTTTTGTATAATAAAATAAAAAGAAGAATATGTGAGTTTTCTTTTTTTTTTTTTTTATTTTAGAATAAAGAATTAGAAAATCGTACTCGAGAATTAGAAGATCTTATTAAAATTGAACGAAATGAAAATATTCGAGCATCAAATGAACGAAATCAAAAATTAAAAGAATTAAAAGATCGTCTTGTAGATTTAGCACGAAATTATGATGAACTTATTTCAATGAAAATATCACTTGATTCAGAAATTTCTATTTATAGAAAATTACTTGAAGGTGAAGAGAACAGGTATGATAAATTTATCTGTCTTTTTTTTGTTCTTTTCATAATTCTAAACTTTCAAGTATTTCTTGATAATTATATAGAGATCAACTTTTTTTTTGTTTTTTTTATTGATTATTTATTCTTTAGAGAAGGCTTAAAACGAATAGCTGAAAATGTTGAACACCAAATACAAGCTAATTTTCCTGCTAGTAGTGGTGAATCAATCACTTATTCACAATCTTATCAAAGAAAAAATGATAGTCAAGGTAAGAAATCATGCATGTATGTATTATATTCTTCGTTGCATGCTGTTTGATATTATTCATCGTCAAACTAAAATGAAATATTCTTATCGTTCAATGTTGTATCGTCATCGTTGTAATATTGTTGTTGTTGTTTTTTAACTTAATAAAAATCAAAAGAATATACTTATAGAAAACCAAGATCGATCATATGCTGATCGTGAAAATACATTGAACAAAGAAACACCTTATTTATCGCCAATATCTTCATCATCTAATAATAATAATATTCAAAACAATGATGAACCGATACAAACACCTATGCATGAAGAATTTGTTCAACTTCAAAATCTGAATGCATCATCTGAACGTAATTCTGATTATGATTCATCAAAAGAAGATTCTCATGAACAACATGATCATTTATAATTTTCTTTAAACGAAAACTAATTCTATTTATCTATTAATTTTCTCACATTCCTTTATTGTATTCTTCCTATTAGCTTTATTTTTTGTCTTTCTTTAAATACACGTAGTTTTAGCATTATACAAAGCACGATTGAAATGCATGAAAAAAAACAAACAAATAAAGCTCTTATTTCAATACAATATTTTCGTTTAGGTTTTAGTCGTAATAAATTAATGTTGACATCTCGTGTACCATTTCAAAATTTATCTTCAACTAAAAAAGAATCAACAATTTTTGAACAAGTATATGGTAATCGTCGACAACGATGTAATACAATTTCTTTGAATGTTCAATGGGTACCTGTTATTTGTCATGCGAATATATATGAACAGAGTGGAAATGACTTTAATAATCGAAACTTAAAGAGAAAGACTTTTTTCGATACTCGTGCAATACGGGAACAACAACAACAACAACAACCTAAATCTGTTACACCGCCTAGTTCTGACTATACCGATGCATATTTATCTGCTTTTGCTCCTAAATTAATTTCTACTAGACCTATTCGTCGATTAACTACTCCTATATTTGCACATGTTAAACCAGTTCCACTCGAACAAACACGGACATATTTATCAACAAATGATTCAATTAGAACGAGTCAAACTCGTTCTAATAATATTCAAAAGTTGAATTTGTTCGATAAAATTCTACCATTTTCTTCTAATACAAATTCGACTGTTACGTCGAATTTCATACCGAATATTTCTACTAAATATGAACAGTCTTCAGGTACGCCAACTTCCTCATCCGAAACTCAAACATTTGATTCCAATTATTCAACATCAATTCATCCAACGTCTTCATCTAAACTTCCTACCACTTATCAATCTCAATCATCTAAGGAAAATATCGATAAACCCATATCATATCCATCTAGACCTTCGACTTTGTTACCATCATCATACAAACCTTCCATATTACTTCCATCCGCACCATTATCATTGTCTAAGGATACTTCTTCGAGTAGTACTAATAAACAAACAGTACTACCATCTTCAAATATTGAAAAACAAATCGATAGAACAGAAACACATTTATTTCAACATGATGAAGATATTTATTCATCAGATATTGAAAAATCATTATCAGAATCTTCTATAAATCATATTAAATCAACTATTGATCCTGAACATACACCAACAGAAGAATTCTTAACAATTTCTTCTAAACCTATTGAAATTCTTGAGAATACTACAAATGATTATGATTCATTAATTAATCAAATTTCAGATATTCTTGCTAATGTATCACCATTAAGTTCTACTGTAAGCAGTATGAGTCCAGGTCAAAGTGTATTAGATTATGAACTTACATCCGATGGTTCACCAATTCTTAAACGCAAACTTATTGAATCTCAACAATCAACAGTACCACTTACAAATACGAATACGCAATGTTCAAAAGCAAAATATTTAATACGTGATGATTCAAATGATAAAATTGTTACTGCCATGGAAGATCTCAATATTGAACTAACACCAGTACCATCTAATATTCAAAAGTCAACAACAATTGAAATAGAGAAAAATGAATCGATAAAAACATTCTTAGACGAACATGAAATGTCATCACCATCATCTAAACAAATTCAAGAAGATGTTAAAACTTCTTCATTAATTAATAAAAAACACAAAGAATCCGAAATCTTACTAACCAATGGAAAAGGATTATCATCAATAACGAAAAAAATCGAAGACGAATATTCAATTTCATCTATATCACCATTAAATGTTTTGACAAATGAATTGTCATCATTAGAAAAAGAAAAACTTGTCGATATACAATCAGTAAACCAAACTCCTTTAAATAATGTTGAATTTGTTCAATCGGAAATAAGTTTATTAACTAACATACCTAACAATGAAGATTTACAAGAAGAAACTAGTGAATCTTATAATGAAGTAATACCATGTACGAAAAATGAAAACCATGTAACAGATGATAATATAGACTTAAATGATGGTGATGACGATGACGATAGTTCAATATATCTAAGTCTTACAGAAGAAATCAATACATCGAAACCTTCAATTATAGCTGCTGACGAAGAATATATAACTTCTGCTAAATCTAAACCGACCGACGAACAACAGATAAGTACATATGATACTACAGATCATCAAATTATTGCATCAGATTTTACTAAACCATCGACAATTGTTATTCAACGACGAAGTACTTCTTCAGATTTAAGTCAATCAGATAAAATTAAAACTTCTACACAACTTGTTGATGATACAGAAAATATCGTTAGAATATCAACTATAGAAAATACAACTTTATCATCATTGCCAATTATCATAAGTCCAATTGATACACTTACAAATTCAATTAGTACTCGATATATAAGTAGTGATGTCTACCATGGTTATCAAGGTGAACATACACAATTTATAGAAGTAAGTGAAATTTTTCTAACTCCTATCTAAACGTACAATGTATACTAAAATTACTCAATAAGATTTATTTTCAATTCTTTTCCACTGCCGTAAGCGCTGTGAAAAAAATTCAAATAATGATTCGAATAGAGAAAATTGTTCGTAGAGAACTCTGCGATCTCTTATTTTGTAAAGGATAGCTTACTCTATTGTTCTATGTAGTCTAAACAAAATAGGTGTTCAGATTTTCTAGAGTCCGTCTCCTTGTGAATCTAATAATAATTTTTATTTTCTTATATTCTTGTTGGAAACTATTTTCTCGATTCGAATCACTATTGTGATGCTTTCTAACGTTTATGACACTGAAAAAAAAATCTCATTGAATAATTATAATATTTATTGTATATTTGACATAGACTCCATCAGATGTCAACACTGACAATACGATGATATCTATTCTGACGTCTCTTCGTCAAATCATTGGAAATCCTGCTACACCACTTATTGAAACAATTCAAAGTGTTGTATCAAGTATGCAAACAATTACTGCAATACAACCATTGATGAATGAAAACGAGACGACAGATCGTCATAGTCAAGAGGAGATCAGAATAGTAACTCCGATGACATTGGATTCAAAAAAAGATATTAATGAATATGAAACTCGTATTGAAGAAGTAATGCATAATTAATCGATTATTTATACTATGTTTATTAATCTTTTTCTTTTTTTGAGAATAAACAGATTGTTCATACTTCCGAAAAAGAGCAGGAAGCTGTATCAACATCAAGTACAAAACAAATCGAATCAATCTCCACTGAAGATGCAAAGGTAGTTCAAATTTATCGTTATTGATAAACATACTTCTGTAATTATCGCTCTAGGATTTAACTATTCTTCAATCACCACTATCGAAGCATAAAGTTCGATCATCGGACAAAAATATGAATGATCATTCAACAAACGAAATTGAATTAACACTATCGTCTGTACTCGATTCGATTCAAAAGAAAGTTTCAGATATAATAACAACACCTACAGAAACAATTCAAAATATAATACCTACAGTACTAATCCAAACATCAAAGGAACACATTGAAGCATCATCAGTGAATAGTTTACAAACAGATAATCTTATGAAGGAATCGATCAATTTGACATCCCAGATTACTATGAATCAAAAACCAGAAAGTCCAATGTCACCAGTAGACAAAACAACTGGAAACATTGTATCTACTCCTATTATCCAAGATAATCAACACATGTTAAGAACTAATATTGTTTCATCTGAACAAATAACTTCCATTGAACTCACATATAAAACATTAGTATGTAATATTTAATAAAAAAAATCAGTTATAATTTGATTTTGAAATTTAGAACTTAACAAGCTCTGAACAAGCAGAGATCGATAGTGTTATTTCTTCTATATCCACTGATGAAAATTTACCAATTATCAAACAGGTAATTTAAGCTCGAAAAAAAAAATGTTCCTATTAATTAACTTCACAATTTAGAATTCTATTCAACCTTTCAATAAACAAATGACATCAACAGAAACTATTCAAAATCTTTCATCTTCAACTAAACAAAAATTAACTTCGGAAAAATCTGAATTCTATCCAGAACATCAAATTCAAAATGAAATAGACATAAGTTTAACAACATCACTACCACAGGTAAATACAAATTCATCTAATTCAAATCTTTTCTCATCAATTCATTAAAGATTTCTCACGACAAAAAAAAATATCGATACACAACTATTTTCAACAAACTCAATCATGCCAGATTTTACAATAGAGACATGCAGAATTCCCCTACTGGGTAGAGCCCATCGGGTCTGAAGCTTTCACATTCGGACCCAGATCTGATGGCCTCTTCTGCCGGGTAGAATAGAGCCCAGCCATAGAGCACGAAAAAAAACCTTACTCTGCACATCGCTAGCTTAGAACAACATGTGAAACTATAAAATTGCTATTTTTTAATTTCGAAGGAAAAAGATCTTTCAAATAATTCTTTCATTTAGAATGAATTAACTTCAGATAGCAATAAAGATTATGAACTTATTCGGAAAACTATTGACAAATTAATCAATGACATTATTCATATTGTTATATCACAATTGCAAGAAAATTCAATTGAAAATATACAAGAAATTCCTATTTCAGATAACAATCTTAATAAATCAATAATTTTACAAGTAAAAATTCGATTTTTTTAAAATTCACTTTATAATAATTTTGTATATTTTAGATTAATGATGTCACGCAACAATTAGAAAATGAATTGGAATCTGATTTAGTAGGAAATTTTTTTTTTCTCTAACAATTTCTAATTCTTCTTTTTTTTCCGTATTTTTAGACATCATTTATAACCGAAACTGAAAATACTCCATCAAAATTAATAATTGATCGTTGTGAATCATCAGCAACAAATACTGAACCTGATTCATTAGAATTAGTTCATGCTTTACAAGGTCATAGTATTATTCAACATAATGAACCTCAACAATTATTTCATCTACCAGAAAAATCTTTTAGTTCAACAACATCATCACAATTGACTAGTTCTGATCGTTATGTTTCTTATGCAATACATCAAATGGATAATTCATCACAAGAACATTTACCAACAATACCTTTAGTAGCTGATATTCCTATATATAAGGATACAAATGAAAATGTTTTATATGAACCAATCGTTATTGTTAATCGTTCAATAATAAAAGAAGATGATTTAACTGAATTTGATGCAATAGATAATTTAACATCTTATACTGATGATTTATTTTCTCGAAAATTTTCTACATTAGATGAAAATAAACAACAAGAACAACAATATTTAGATACAAGTAGTACAGATGATGATGTTGATGATGAATTTGAACAAAATGATTTAACTAATATTCATCATATTATTGATCAATTAGAACAATCAAATAATAATTTAAATGGAAATGATGAAACATATCAATGTTATGATCTTGCAACATCACCATCAAGTAATAATAGTTCATCATCATTAAGACAACAATCAGATGATGTTTATCTTATACCAGGATATCCTGGTTTATGGCGACCATCAACAAATAATTATAGTTCAAATTTACCAAAAGAATATGATGCAGATGATGAGACGAAAACAGCAAGTGAAACTCAAGTAGGTCATGTAGAAAATAATACATGTCAAATAAATAATATTCATTTCAAAATATAATGTATTTCAACATCGAAATTTGATTGATCATTAGTTAACATGGCTTACCAAGAGAAAAAATTTTTCTTTTTCGATCTACATAAGATCGATGTCTCTAGTTTATTTCGTTCAGAGGTTATTGAGATTTTCTTGAAACGTCCGATTCCAGTGAATTGATCCAGCATCATCCGAAAAAGTAGTTCACCATGTTGAGTCGAATGATGATGTTTATTGTTAACGTTGAACTCATCTGACACCGTTATCTCAATATTTTTGAAATATCAACTCCTTCATTTCATGCAGGCAGATTGTAGAATCTGAGAAAACAGTGTTAGATCAGTTCGAATCTAAAAAATAAATATCACCACTTGACTCAATATGATAAACTGCCTCTGTCTAGCTGCTGTTCCAGATCGGTTAGCTGAAATGAGGATCTCAGAAAGTCTTATAACTCTTGAACGGAGCATGCTAGGAATGTTGACCTTGTGTAGATGAAAACAACAAGAATTATTCTTATCGATAGGTCATATTAATAATCAAAATTGAAAATAGAAAGGGCTTCAGGATATCGTTTTGAAAAATCTTCACCAAAAATTCGTCTGATTGGTCGATTGCTGAACAATCGAATTTCGATATACTTCCACAATCCTTGGTCTTCTCTTTTGGATGATGAAAATCGTAGATCTCCTTGATGTTTCTATCATAAAACAATAGAGTACATTTTATTTCGAAATGGATATTAGATTTGAATTTTCCCATCAGCATCCGATATTATTAGTTAGTTATATTTGTATGACAACTCTCTATGTGCATAATATACGATATAGAACAAAAAAGAAAATATTCTGAAGCTTTTAAAAAAGATTCAATGAATTTTAGTAGCTCCTTAACATGTATGAAGAAAAGAAAATATTTTGATTGTAATAATGAATAGATCAAATGAGCGAAAGAATGGTTAGAACAATTTCTTTAATCGGAACTAGAACCATACTTATCGACCTCTCATAAACAACGAGAAAAAAAAGGTTATAAATAGTCTAATTTATATAGTATTCGACGTTCCATAGAAATATATAATTCATTTTAATTTCATTGTTTCTTCGATCGACAGCCCATATATTGCTTAATCAACACTTGAATATTTTTGTGTAAAATGATACAAAATAAATTCTAACATTCTCTACGACAGAATTGATAGAATAAGGAACTTATTAAAAAAGAAAATGAAGAAGAACAATTCTTGTACTTTTCTTTTTTTTTGAGATAGAAGAAATTTCTTAAATTAAACTATTATACTCACTTTATTATAAAAAACGTTATGTTCTAAAAGCAAACAAAATTTCAGTTGTTAATTTTGTTTTTATTCAACAAAAATTTATATCATATAGGGTAATGCTTTTTCTGTTGAATCTACTGGAAAATATTCTTTGCAATAAAAATTCAACTTAGCAAACTATATCGAACAGATCTACTTATTGAACGGTTTTTTTTCCCCGACTAATTGCTTTCTCTGTACTATTGCGTCAAATAATTTGAACTGTTTCAATGAGTAAATCGATTTTTTTATTATTAAATTTTGGTACAAATTGAAACGTAAACTATTTTATCGTCAGTATAAATTCTCATGTTCAAATATTAATCATCCAGACTAAACTACTCCCCGTATTAGAAGCTCTAGTACTTCTATTGTGTCTAGACAATTCTAGTTTTTTTTGAGCAAATCTTGACTGATACTATTAAATTAGTCTTGGTCATATGCCTTGAATGTTTCTCCAGATGTCAAATACTCATGATTAAGAATACCATCTAGAAGTCGCTTTCATTTTTCGTCAACGTCTGATATTCATATTTCTTCTTCTGGTAACATCATGATGTGAAGGGGCTGTCTGCATCTTCTCTTGAGTGATACTCAAGTAGTATTAGTATTCCTTTCTAAAATTTTTGAATGCTTGGATATTTTAGAAGTTCCGAAGATTTCTATTACACTGAGAAGGGTATTATAACAAAGCACTTGTCGAGTATTTTCTTAGATAACAGAAAACAATAGAAAATTTGACGACATATTTCCAGTATAATAATCTGTCGGAATGTACATCTTCTCGTTACTCTTAAAAACTATTAATTTTTGTCTTATCTAGACTATTACTCAAACATTCAATTCTACTAAACGTCCATTAGTATTTCAAAACATTCAAGATGAAACAACAAATGTAATACATCCAGAAATTTTAACAAATAGTAGACTAATACGACCAGATAAAATAGATTTATTTAATCAATCATTAAATGAAGATTTATTAGATAAATCTGAATCGAATAGTTATCAAACATGTCAATCATCAACAACAACAACAACAGTAAAACATAAAAAAGAACATAAATTAAATGAAAAACAAAAATTTGATGAACAATATCAAACAAGTCCTGATGAAAGTATTTTTCTTATACGTGAACGTGAACGTGGTGTTTCATTACCAGTTACAGTAAAAATTGATTGTGATGATATAACATTACGTTTATCAGCATCTACACCTATTGATAGTCAATTATATTCAAAATTACCACTGGAGTTATCATCATCATCATCATCATCATCATTAATTCATAGTGAACCATCATTATCTGTTAAAATAGATTCAAATAGTCGACCAAGTTTATTATCATTAAATAGTAATGAAAATGATCAAAAAACATTACCATCTTGGTTAAATACAGTTAAAACAATAACAACAACTAAAGAAAGAACTGATGCACGTATGTTATTATTAAAATGTCTTGTTGATAAATATTTTTAACTGTTTATTATTCTTTTTTTTTTTGTTTTTTGTTGTTTCTATAGCACTTGAATCTCGTGTAACTTTTCTTAAATCTGCAAAAGGTCCAATTAGTATTTCTCAATGTAATCCACAAGGAAATTATATCATGATTGAAAATACAAGTCAATCAAAAATTATTGATCTTTCAAATTGGACAATACGTCAAGAAAATGATAATGGAGATAATTTAATTTTTACATTTCCTGATAATTGTCATTTAGAACCAAATCATTCATTAAAAGTAACTAAAATTCTATGTTTATTTTTTTGTTTTTTGCTATATAATTTATTCTATTAGATTTTAACAAAACCAAATGAATCTCAACAAGAAAATAATGATCTTATAGCTTCATCTTTATCATCATGGTATATAGGTTCTAATGTTATTACAATATTATATAATTCTGAAGGCAAAGTAAGAGATTAATAAATTTTTAATTCATTTATACGATAAGAAAAAACAAAATATAAAATTATAATTTTTTATTATTTCAAAATTTTGAGAGAATTTCTAATTTATTTTTTTTCTTTTTTAGGATCGTTCGAGGTTAATCAAGAAAACAATATTCTCTTGATTGTTTTTTTTCTTATTTCTATTTCTATTTTTTTTTTTGTTGTACACATATCATCGATCTTGTTTTTTCAATTACGAACATTGACAAAGAAATATTTGTTTTCTTTTTTTTTTTTTTATTGTTTGAATGAGAGAAAAAAAAACTTATTGTCAACATTAATTTTTAAATATAAAGTCAACAAAAAACAAAACAAAACAAAAGAATAGAATGTTTTATATATTTATTAGATAGCAATATATAATTTTTCTTATCAATAATCATTAATATTATTAAATGGTTCATTTACAACATACAATATGAATAGTAAAATAACCGGAACAAAAAAAAACTAATTATTTTACCATTTAGAAAATCAATAATAGATGTCAACTAAGTGTGTTCTATATCTATTATTTAGCGTACTTCCTTCTTTGCATTACATATGAATCTTGAATCACTAGTTAGAAAAAAAAAAAACATACAAAGCATTTTATTGACATCAGTTGATCGTGACATGCAATTCGAGAATAATTGTCCTTGTAAATATGAAAATGATGAAATTATATAAAAACAAAACAAAATCAAATAAAAATTCTTTTTTGAATAACTTCTATAACTCAGACATCGATGATTCTTTATGTCTACATTGATTATTATGAAGAGTTCAAGATAGCAAAATTTTATAAGAGTAGAGGATAACATGTTATTTAGATTATATGGGAAAGAAAGACATCGTTGGTTTTCCCAATGGTATAAGAATACTTATTTTGTAATCCTTAGACATTACTACATTTAATTAGGATGAAAAAAAAAAGTCCACATAATTTTGTGTTTAAACTATCATCTTTTTTTCATTACGTACCGGTTATTGATAATGATGAGTGCATTGCACGTGTGTTTTTTTTTGTTGTCAAGGGAAAAAAACAGAAATTAATAACTCAGAATTCTAGTATGTATTTGTTAAAAATAGTCATTTACTAAGTTGTAGAATAGAATTGATGCATTAATTATAATACTTATTATATAAAAGTTCCATAATTTAAATCCGTTTGATTAGCAATTCGTTTCAATTGATGAGACAAAGAAAAACGATTAATCAAAAGAGACTAGTTGTTCATGAAATATTACTTCAAGATACGTGTCAATCTTTGAATAGAATTTAAATTAAAATACTTTCAATAGGTTCTCATTAGGTAGCTCTATTGTAAGTTGTTTATCACACTTACGCACATTTTATACGTCAATTTCTTTCAATATATTTAAGAAACGTTCTTTTTAACGTTTTCTTATTTTTTTAAATAAATAAATAAAAAAAAAACAAATAATTCTTATTTTCGATTTGATCAAGATTAATAATGATATTGATTCATTTAAAGTAATGATATTTTAGTTTTTAGATTTATTTGAATAAAGCAAATACCCATTTACATGTTTACAGGAAAAAAAATGAAATCAATAAAGGCATAAATGTCTCCGAAAGGACTGGAGCGATCTCACATTAGCGCAATTGAATTGTGCACTTCATCAACTAAACAATTTATTCTTATCATAAATTATGCTTAATAGTAGTTCCATTACTAGCCAATGAATCAGTTGATGTTCGACATCGTAAAACTCGAATAGTAACTGGTGATACTCGCCGTTGACTATGATTATTATCATTCATCTGATAATTGGTATGATTTCCTATATGACGTCGATCAATTGATGTTTGTACTGTATTATTAGTTAAATGAATTTTAATTGCAATACTATGAAATAATCGTTTAAGTTCATGACGAAATGCTTTACCGGTTATAGCATAAAGAAAAAAATTAATCTTAAACAATAAAAAAAAAAAAAAAAAAACAAATACCAATAATTAATCAACACATTCTTCTTCATTTTTTTTTTTTCTAAATGAAAACTTACACAATGATTTGAATATTGTAATGTTTCACATAAAGGTTTAAGATAAAGTTGTGTAAATAAATTATTATTTTGTTGTTGTATATTTATATAAATTTGTAAACAAACCATTGGAAATGATGTTAATAAAAAAAAGACTGTTACAGCTAAAAGCATTGTTGTTAATTTTCTTGACATTGTTGTTGATAATTTATTTTTATTTCGATTTCGATGTGATTGATATATTTGTAAATTTGATGTTGAACGACGTGCATGAAATAGACTAACTACAATAATTAAATTTATTGTTAATAATAATATAAATGGTAATGCTGAATATACAGCTGCATCAATCCATGGCCATATACGTTGAATAAAAAAATCATAAGATTCATGTGATGTACATTCATTTTCTGATGATAAATAATGTGTAAATAAAAAATGTATATTTATTATAAGACTACATAAAACAAGTATGCAAACAGATATTCTTGCTCGTCTTACAGTACATATTGAACTAGCATGTAATGGACGTGTTACAGCAATACAACGATCAGCTGACATCATACAAACAATCCATACACTTGTATCCGATACTGTATAAAATAAAACTGACAGTATTTTACAACCATATGTTGATTGTAATAATAATGACCATTTTCGATTTAATAAATAAAGCCACATAACAGTTAAACCAAGAAGAAGTACACTTGTATCAGCTATTGCTAATATACCCATATAATAACATGTCGAAAGATGACACATACGTCGACGTCTCATAATAACAAAAATTAATGTATTACAAATGACACCAATTAATACCATACAAGGAAAAAGTACAAAAGAAATTTGACGTGGAAGTGTCGACGATAATGGTATTGCTGTTGTATCATTTGATTTTATTGTTAAATTAACACTTGACATGTAAGAATATTCTTGATGACTGTTCATCGAACATGATATAATTCATTAACTATAAAAAAATAAAATATATTCATTGATTTACACATCAAATTTCTTTTTTTTTTTTTTTTGTTGATTACATTTATTCCTGTTATCGGTAGGTTTCTCGAATAATTTAAAAGGAAAACATCTTAATACGACCACTTTCAACGAACAAAGAATAAATGAGAAATCATTATATGTGAATGAAGAGATCGACGATAAAAATTTTGCTTTGAAACTAACTAGGGTCAAAATATGTAAAAAAAAAAATAGAAAAGAAAATGAAGAATCAATAGTCCTCCGCTTTAACTTAAGTCATCGGTATCGACATACGTCCTTTCCTTATTTTTCTCCTTCTTCTCTTTTTGATTATTTCTATTTTTCTATATATATATATATATATTCTCTTATCTTTGATAAAAAAAAAAGGAATTTTCTTTTTTGTGACGAACTAACAAAAACAAGGGCACATTCTATTACAGACCATAAAGTATGCTCTTGTATTTGTTCGTTATTACCCTTATATTCATCTACAATAAACATAACAAAGAATAATCTTTATTAACATAATACAATATGAAAGAATACACCTTGTTATTTCATTCTTTTCGTTGTAAAATATCATGACACAAATATAATAGTTTCATCTTAGTGTAAAACAAACAAACCGAAAAAAAAACATTTCTAATCGAATGATAATAAATATCGGCTTCATTTAGTTTTGGTTTCTTCTTCTACTCGTTCACAAATATGATTCTCATATTAGTTTCAGATCGACACATTTTATTTTCTATCGTTGCCATCATCAATATTTGATTGGTGTAGATAGGGAATACTATCATGATAGTTCTAGTTGAAAATGCGGCACATTATAGTCTGCTTCTTTTTTTCCTTTAGGTACTATTGTTGATCGTCAACAAATATATATATATATATATATATATATAACGATGTTGTGAATTAGGATTATGATTTGATTTTAAGAGAAGGAGAGACCAAAAAAGCCTAAGAACAATGGTATGAAATTCAATCTTACTATTATGTAGCTCGATGATGGAAAAAACAGATCAGAGTTAGCGATAGGCCCAATTCTCTGTTGACAAAAGATGATCACCATTAAAGGAAATGAAAAGATTGAATAGATGAAAATAGAAAACAAAGTAGATATTTCAAGAAAAGGATCCTTGAGATTTCAATCAACTATACATAAGAAATTAGCTCAAATCAAAATCATGAAATCGAGTTGAGTTTTTTTTTTCCTTCGTATAAAAACTTTAAACAAAGAAAAATCTGTTCATGAAATTGATATGATGTCAAAATGTCAACCATAATGGATAAAACTAATTTCATTATAAATAAGATGGAAAAAAATGATCCGAATTATATTGTATTGTGATGCATGAAGCATGGCACGAATGATAGACATCATATTTTCACATTCTACATTACAAAATTGTAACAGATTCATCAATCTATTCTTGTGTGTAAGCAAAAAGAAACAATATTCAATTTTCACACATTTATAAAATTTGACATTAACTAATAATTTTATTGTAGTAATAATATTTATAATTAAATAGGGTAATAATGTTTCTTATAGTTGACAAACGATAAAATAAAAAATGAATTGATGTACCAAAACAAAAAAAAATTCAAAAAGAATTATATATTAGAGTTATTCTATTGACATATTTTTGCATATTAAGATAATTGACTTTTGTAATCAAATAAAAATACTAGACAACGTAATTGTATATTAATATTTATGGTTATAGTTATGGAAAATTAGAACTTATTTTCTCCATGGAAAAGCATTGTTTACAAGTCTAATGAATATATATATATATATATATATATATATATATTTTTATTGTATTGTTTCATCATGTCGTCTTGCTAGACGAAGAATTTTTTCATGAACAATTTTTCAATATTCAGAAAAGAATTAATAATATTATATATTTTTAAATTAATTTATTCATGAAGTTTTTCTTGTTTTCTATAAACTCATAATCCTGTTTAATAACAAGCTTTATTTGAATATCAAACGTTCAACAATTCTGATGATGATACTTGAAGGTGAATGTATATAGAAAGTTTTTTTTTGTTTTTTTGTTTTTCTATAGATCAAAGTAGATTGTTAGTACATTCAAATTTATTTGATGACAAACTAAATTAAGTTTGTGAGA